CAAGGAGGGAAAAGGCTTTTAGGGTATTGTATGAGAAGGGTTAGGAGAGAGCAGCTCAAGGGAAGAGCTGCAGAACCCCAGGGAGGAAGGCACGGACTTGGGAGTCAGACAAACATGGCTTTAAGCTCTGGTGTCTAAGATTTGGTGTTGGAAATGCTGCTTTGTTTCTCTGATCTCTTTATGTGTAAAATGGGAATTCTACCTGCATTGCAGGGCTCTAAATGCTTGTGAGTTCTAAATTAATACATATGAAGCTAAATTAATACATATAAAGTAACCGAGAACACTGTGGGCTCATGCTTGATGGCCGTTGTTCATTTCATCTTTGAATGTTCATTTCACTCATGTCTGAGTGTGGTGTGCAGGGAAGGAGGAAGTGAACAGTGAACCTGGAGAGATGGAGAGTTGACTCATGTGCCTCTCCCCAGTGGAGAACCTTGGAACCATTTAGGCAGGGAGGTGACATGATCTGATTTGCTTTGCATTAAGGTGACAGTGGCAGTTGAAGAAGAATGGTTTGAAGAGGAGTGAGCCTGGAGGCAAGGTGGTTACTGCAGTGATATAGGTGAAAGTCCACGTGGTGTTTATATGCCAGATACTGGCTAGAGGAGTGCAGGGAAGAGGACGATGTGGAAATGTATTAGGAGTAGGATCGATAGCACTTGATACAGGGAGATCAACAGAAAGGAAAATAAGATTGAAGAATATTTTGTGGATTTCTAGTAAGCCATTACAGATTAGAGGAACAAATTAGTTTGGCATTTGAGGTGCTCATGAAAAACATGGAGATGGAGGGGTCGACCAGGCGGTAGTGAGCTCAGGAGAAGTTGGGGCCAGAGAGGAGGGATTTGGGACTCATCAGAGAGTGAAGAAAGTTGAATTAGTGAGAGTGGGTAAGGGTCCCCTGGGAAAGTGTTTAGACGAAGAAGAAAAGACTGTCACATCCAATGAAATTCAGAGAAGCACAGTTCACAAAGGGACTGAGACTGAGTAGCCAGAAAGATGGGGGACAGCTAGGAGGAAATCCCAGAAAGAAAAAGCTTCCATTCAAATATCACATTAGTAGGAGGACTGCAGAGGACCCGTCTGCATAGTGAAGTTAGAGGTTTTGGTGAATCAGGAGGAAATGTGGAGGGTGAGCGGATTCAGAAAGATATTTTGAAGAAGTAGAGGGACTAATTAGTTCTGGCCTCTAGAGAGTTAGGGCTTCTACTCCAGGTAGGGGGAGGTAGGACAGATTTGCTGAGAAGCAGCAGCAAGAAGCTCACATGAGGGGATGCTGCCTGGTGACCTCTGGGTTCTGTGACTCGAACTCCCTGTGAGGAGCTCAGCATGGCGATGGGTGGAAGATTTGAGGAGGTGTCGTGGGTGGGAAAAGTTGAAATAGTTGGGAGAAAAATTGGAGGACATTGTGGAAGGTTCAGTGAAAGTGAAAGTCTTGCCCTACCTCCTCCTCGTCTTCATCCTGCGCCTCGATCCTGTGTTTTTGTGTGCACATGTGCGCACCATGTATCTTTGTATCTGACAGGCATCAGTGTTGCAATTGTCTAAGTGGATAATCTCATTATTTGGGACACATGATAATTCTTCAGTAAAGTCTTCTTAAATATGTCATTCAACAATTTTTGTATATTAGTGGACCTTGATGTGAATCGTATTTTGTACTAGACATTTTGTGAATAGGTGGACTAAATGACCTTGCTTCAGTCTAGCTCTAAAATTCTATTATTCTGCATATCATCACGTAATCTGTAAGGTTCACATTATTTCAAATATATGAATTTTATTTCTTTAGAATAATTTGTAATTGGGTTTCTTACTCATCAGGCTCCCCTTCTAAGCAGTTCGTGGTTGATTCTATAGTATCTGTGCTGTCACCGGCACACTTGTTATTTTTGGGACAATCTTTCTGAGTTGTCTAGAGGGTGATGCCCATCCTTTGCAGGTAAAACATTACCTCAGACATTTCCTTTTATGTTTTTCCAAAATGTTGTAGGCATTAGGCATAAAAAACATCCCTGTTGCTTTGTTGACCTGTTTAATGCAGTTTCTACTGAACGATTATTACAGGTGCTTCCCCACACGCTCGCCCTGCTGAATGTGCTTTACAAATACTAACTCAGGCACTCCTGTGATGGCCCCATGAGGGAGGGGCTGTCATTTTCATCCGTTTTACAGCTAAGGAAACTGAGGGGCAGAGAGGGAGACCAGGTAACTTGCCCAGGCCACGCAGCTAGTTATGTCCAAGTCAGGTTAACTACCATTTGTGTCCTGCTGTTTCTCCATCGCGTCACTTTGCCGTGTCATTTTCTGGCAAAGACGGGAACCTAAGTGGGAGGGTCTGTGTGTGCGCAGGCATGCACATGTACGAGTATACCAATTTTTCAGACTCATGGAGCAATACATTAATGAGACATTTTGAGTAACACTGAGAAGCATCTGACACACATGTGGTTATTAAAACTGTCGAATTAGCATGCTCTGTTCTGTGGGGGATGCTCCCCTGCTGCTTCAGTTGCTGGATGGTGCTGCACAGCAGGTGTTGCATCTTTCCTCTGACACACCCTGAGAGGACCAGTTCACAACAAAAAACAGAGACAGCCCTGGGGTCAAGAGCGTTTCTGTTGGAAGGATTACAGTTGTTTCAGCTTTTTAGATGTGGGGTTCAGATCAAGAGAAGTTCACATTCTGTGAGTCTTGTAGTCCTGACAGTTAACAGATGACTTAGGGCCTAAATGGTATGTGGAGTGTTGAGATACTCTGAAACCAAAATCTTCATAACTTAATACGTGGATTGTTATTCAGTTTCAAAGTTGTTAAATAGTTTGAAAGCTGAGTTGGCATTCCCCTGGGATCGAGGGCTTTGGCAGATCAGCCCTTAGTTCTGGGGTGCTCAGACCTGCAGCTGGGGCAGTTCTCAGGCCAGGGCAGAGTCCCTTCGTGTAGATGCCTTTGAGTTAACCCTCTGAGCCTTAGGGATGGTGCACACACAGGGATGTCAGGCACATCAGCTCACAAAGGTCACTTCCTAGATTATTAGGGGACATTGTCTGTATCCTTACCCATGTGCATCACTCTTCTTTTTCTGACTTCATGGCTTACATTTTCTCAGGGAAACCATTTATTCTTTCCAAGTTCCATTACATTTTAATGTGGAAGGAGTTTGCATCAGAGGAAACAATTGAAACCCCACAAGAAGCAAAAATGAAATATTACTGTCTTTTTCCTTCATTGTTGGGATTTCTAAAGTTATCCCATAGCTCTAAAAATTAACACTGGAAAAAAATTTGATTAATTCCTGGCTTTTAATGTTAAATATAAGATCTGTTTTAAACGTAGATTTTTGTTTGTAGATTTTACATCTGTAGGGAAAATTTCCTAAGCATTATTAGTTTACCGCCTATAGTAATAGCTTTTATCAGAGTTTGAGGCTTTAGTATGTCTTTTATGACTTACATGTGATTGCTACAAGAGCTTAAAAACGGGAAGAGAATTATTTTTAATGTCTGGATTGTCTTAATGGAATGTTTTGATTTGTTGGATAGATGTTAAATGCCATGTGAAAACTGACATTTGACTTGAGACTTAAATTTCAAAGGCATTTTCTGTGTCCTGTCCCCACACAGGCACTTAAGAGTGTGAGCCTAAGGAGAGAACTCTGGGGAAAGGCCTTACCTACTTACTGGATTTCCTGGCTGTGGTTCTTTCCTTCTGACCCCTTGTGCTGCTGTTGATGTGAGATCAGGGCTCCGAGGTCAGGATGCTTCAGCAGCACAGTGTCCCCTAGCTGTGATTATAGAAATTGGATCCCCAAAGAAGTAACTAGTATCATTTGTTATCTAGTTTTGAGAAGAGATTCTGTTTATAACATTGTTTACATATTTCTTAGGCGGCTTCACATTTTCCTTACTTTATTATGGAGAAAACCTCATTAAATGGGAAATACATTTTCATATATTGAACAGGGCATTTGGTCTCTAACCTTGAGGCTTCCTTTACTAAATTCGTGAACTGTGTATACCCAGGATGTGTTGCAGGCAGGCAGGTCAGGCAGATGATTTTGTGATTCCCAAGGGATTAGTTTTTTTGTTGCTAAAAAATGACACTTAGATATTCAGGATAGCATCAGGTAAGTGGAAACTTGTTTGCATAATTTAAATTTTTTTTCAGGAGCTATCCAGATTGATGTGTCCTAATCATATCGTCCTACTGTTTCCAGAAATCTATTTAGTGTTCAACTGGTTGTCATCAGTGTGTAATATAAATTTTGTTTACTTTGCCAGTACCCTCTAGAAGTAATTCTATTCTAATGTTCTCCATAGAGCTCAAAACTTGTACAGTTATGAAAGAACTAGTCATAAGACCACACAAGCAACTACTTAAAGGTCATTCATTGGTTATATTTTCAAAAGTGTCAGATAATCTTCCCCTTTAAAAGGTATTTGGTCCTTAACAAGGGAATAAATTTTTTTTTTTTTTTTATAACTTTACCTACTGAAATTCAAGCAGATGAACCAGGAGATTCTAAATTAACATTGGCTGCATTTTCTATGGCCCCTAAATCAACTGTATTTCAAGAGTAAGGAAAATGGGTACAGTGGACACTTGTCTTGATCTTAGTGCATAAAACCAGGCCACCACCTAAATTGCAGGCTTTTTTAGTGTAGTGAGCCAGTAGATCCCATGTTTCATGCAAGCCGTGGGGCAGGTGATTTTTGTGGACTCTGAAACATACTTTTTGATGCTTGATTGCAAGAGTTTGCTATAATTCTGTTGCAGAAAGTTAGAGACTAGGTGTGTCGTGGTGACTTTTATATATGGAAGAGTGAGGAAGTTCATTTTATGAATAAAGTTTTTGTATTGTTCTTGGTGGTAATGTTGACATTTCTTGCTAAGACATTTTTCCTCTGTGGTCTTATCTCAAGTTAAGGGGGTGATGTTTTTTGGAAGAATTCTGAACCCCGTGTAATTGTCGTAATCTTGTTGCTGTTGTCTTCTAGCATCCTCCAGGACAAATAGCAAGGAAATACAGCTCCTGCTCTACCATTTTCCTAGATGATAGCACAGTCAGTCAACCAAACCTCAAGTATACAATTAAATGGTGGGTATATGGATTTATTTATTTATTTTATTTAATCTAATGCTTTTTCTCTTCTTTAACCTGACAGCTAAGCTGGTTGGTTGTGGGGTCTGGAAGTAGTAAGATTGGATGAGTAAGGGTGGGGGTAGCACTGATAATTCAGGAAATCTTTTTTAAGAGTGATTTTGGGAGTTAAATATGGGGTATTCAAATTATTTTTACATATTACTATTTATATTAAAAGACCAGAATTTTTAAGTATTTTAAATGTAGATTACTTAAAATGCATTTCAGATTTTTGTTTATACTTTCTACACTTGCACTTTTTATTAAAGCAATCCTGGCATAACTCTGCTAACTTTTTACCTTCTAAATAAAACAAGACTCCTGTGTTCTAGTTGAAGACCCAGGGCTCCAGATCTTGACTGATTGAATCTGGCCGAGGTGTACTGTGGGTATCTGGAATTTTAACAGATCCTGACTGATTGAATGTGGCCGAGGTATACTGTGGGTATCTGGATTTTTAACAGATGTTGATTGATTGAATCTGCCTGAGGTGTACTGTGGGTATCTGGATTTTTAACAGATGTTGATTGAATGTGGCTGAGGTATACTGTGGGTATCTGGATTTTTAACAGATGTTGATTGATTGAGTCTGCCTGAGGTGTACTATGGGGTATCTGGATTTTTAACAGATGTTGATAGATTGAATGTGGCTGAGGTGTACTGTGGGTATCTGGAGTTTTAACAAATGTTGATTGAATCTGGCCGAGGTATACTTGGGTATCTGGATTTTTAATAGATCTTGATTGATTGAATCTGGACGAGGTGTACTGTGGGTATCTAGATTTTTAACAGATGTTGATTGATTGAATCTGGCCGAGGTGTACTGTGGGTATCTGGATTTTTAACAGATGTTGATTGAATCTGTCTGAGGTGTACTGTGAGTATCTGGCTTTTTAACATGTTGATTGAATCTGCCTGAGGTGTACTCTGGGTATCTGGATTTTTAACAGATGTTGATTGATTGAATCTGCCTGAGGTGTACTGTGAGTATCTGGAGTTTTAACAGATGTTGATTGATTGAATCTCCCTGAGGTGTACTGTGGGTATCTGAAGTTTTAACAGATGTTGATTGATTGAATCTGGCTGAGGTGTACTGTGGGTATCTGGAGTTTTAACAGATGTTGATTGATTGAATGTGGCTGAGGTGTACTGTGGGTATCTGGAGTTTTAACAGATGTTGATTGATTGAATCTGGCTGAGGTGTACTATGGGTATCTGGAGTTTTAACAGATGTTGATTGATTGAATCTGGCTGAGGTGTACTATGGGTATCTGGAGTTTTAACAGATGTTGATCGATTGAATGTGGCTGAGGTGTACTCTGGGTATCTGGATTTTTGAACCTCCCCAGGGTAGTCCACAGGCAGTCAAGGGTTGAGGACCCCAGATGGAAGTGGACAGCTGCCTTCCCCACCCCACCAGTGTCCCCCTACCACTTTCAAATGAACTGTTGGGTTAGATTGTAGAAAACAGAGAAGCTGAAGAGCAGGAACAAGCTAGCTAGCTGTGCAACTTCAGTGTAGATACTGGGCTTTCCCGACACAAAGACATGGTCTCTGCACTGCACACATTTGAAACTCTTTCATTCTGTAATTCAGTTGCATTTAAAAGTATTTTTTTTCTTTTTTTTGAGCCGGAGTTTCGCTCTTGTTTATCCCCAGGCTGGAGTGCAATGGCGGGATCTCGGCTCACCGCAACCTCTGCCTCCGGGGTTCAGGCAATTCTCCTGCCTCAGCCTCCTGAGTAGCTGGGATTACAGGCACGTGCCATCGTGCCCAGCTAATTTTTTGTATTTGTAGTAGAGACGGGGTTTCACCATGTTGACCAGGATGGTCTCGATCTTTTCTTTTGACCTCATGATCCACCCGCCTCGGCCTCCCAAAGTGCTGGGATTACAGGCGTGAGCCACCGCGCACGGCCCTTTTTTTTTTTTTTTTTTCTGGAGACAGGATCTCTGTCTCCAGGCTAGAGTGCAGTAGCATGATTGCAGCTCACTGTAACCTCCACCTCCCAGGCTCAAAAGATCCTCCCGCCCTAACCTCCCAAGTAGCAGGGATTACAGGCACACACTACCATGCCCAGCCAATTTTTTTATTTTATTTTTTTGTAGAGATGGGATTTCACCATGTTGCCCAGGCTGGTCTCAAATTCCTGGGCTCAAGCAATCCACCCACCTTGGCCTCCCAAAGTGCTGGGATTACAGGCATGAGCCACTGTGCTCAACTAAAAGTACCTTCTTTTTAAAATGTGCACCAGGAGCTGGGCAGGGTGAGTCCCAACTGAAGTAGTGCCATCAGACTCCTTCCCTGGAAATATCAGCATCTCACACTTCGTGTAGCTAGAGTCAAACACATTTAGAGACATTAGTGGGTCCAGTTGAGTTCTGCAGCCAGGGGTGTTGACAATAGGAGAGGAAAGGGCTACTCAGAAGGAAGAAGAATGAAAAAGATAAGAAGTTGTGAAATCCACATGCCGTCCCATTCTAAAAATTTTCCTAAATCTTGCCCTACTACTGTCCAAAGGAAACTCTTGTTCTCTTCTTTGCTTTCTCTGCCTCCAATTAATCCAGGTCCTCTTGCCCCCTACTCCAGATATTAGGGCTGATAACAGAATCATTCATACTGTAGTTCGGCTTCATTGTGGGCCTAAGTGAGAATTTGTGGGCCAGAGTTACTCCCTGAAATCCAGTTACAAGGTTGTAACTGTGAGAGAATGCCCTAGGTTCTAAACAGCAATTTACAAGCTGATTTTTGGAAGACAATCCGCCTATAAATTGGAGATTGCTAGAAATAAACATATTTGTAGATTCTAATTGGGAATGGGGTAGAGGGTTGAGTGCTAATCTAACAGTGAAGGAAAAGCTATAAAAAGTCTGGGTACGCATTCAGTACTTACTCTTTCTGTAGACATAATTTTTTATTTTGAGAACTTGATTTTCCCATTTTTCTCCTAAATGCCAACAGCTGTGGTATGAATTTAGAGTTTGTCAGCCACACTTTGTGCCTCTGCAGCCAACCCCTCCCCACAAAATCCTCTAACAAGTATAAGACGATGATCAAAGAAAAGAGCGGAGGGTGTGGGGAGCCTCTTTGCGCACCAGGGTGCACCATCAGGATCCTCATCCACCAGGACCAGGGAACAGCTCATGTCCATCACAGCCTTGTCTGTGGCTCAGCCCCTCTCTAGTGCTAGAACCCAACCCCTCTTGCTCTTTGAAGGTTTTAGGATTGTCATATATACTGCTAATTTAGCTCTAGGTAAGAAGTAAGACAAATGCAGTGCCAAAAATCACAAATCCGTTTTGTTTTCTTGTGCAAGAAAATAGCATTTACTTCTTCCCCAGCTATGTGGCAAAAGCCGCTGAGCAAACCCTTTGTCCAAATGTTCTGTTCTCTGGGAAGGCTCCAGCCCTTCCTAGGTGAAACCACACCATTTTCTGAGACGTGGCAAAGCTGACCAAGCCTCTGAAGCTGGGCACTTGGAGTGCAGGGTCCCCCAGGTCCCCTGAGTTCTTTCTGTGTCCTAACCGCTCTCTGGCCTGGTAAACTTGGGTTTGGTAAGGGTGGTAAGAGCCAGTTAACTCTGTGGCTCACCAGGGTTAATTGGTCTGGTTAGCCACTCTGGGCAGAAACTAAAGGAGGCCTTAGGTACTTGTCTGGTAAGATTATAGGGTAGACACCAATGCGTGTTTCTTTCTGGAGGTGAGGCAGAAAAGATTAGCAGTGTCACAGCACTCCTCTCAGATTGTTCCCTGAGAGACAGGATCATCCTGGCCCTGTGAAGGGGAGATACCTGGGGCCCTTCACCTTGGAAGCTTATAAACAAGGCACAGGCTTTGTTGCACAGATGGCCAGTGTGGTTGGCTGTCTATCCCCCTGCTTTCCAGGGGCTGGATGGCACCCTGTTCGTTTCCAGCATGCGTGGTAGCCCCTCAAGGCTGCTCCACCTGGATGGAAGGACACTGCTTCCCACCTTCGGTCCCTTGGACAGGGCTTTGTAGGTGAAATAGGGGAAGTAGAAACAATGACTGGCCCAGCTTAGGTGAGAAGTACCACAAAAACAGAGGAACCTGAAAAGAAACCAGAAAGAAGGGGAGAGCCAACAAAACAGGTGTCAAAAGTCAAATTTGACAAGATCTTCTAAGGACAGATCTGATAACAAAATGGCCCAATACAGTTCTTCTTAGACTTTAAAAAGCCCTAAAGCCATAGCAGCAGTTCACCACTAGGGTTAATCCTAAACTCTGGGCACTGCCTCTAGGAAAAAATCCAAGGACAGAAGGTGGTGAGCGTCTCAACCTCTACACTGACAAGAAAGCAAAGTTCTCCTCAGTGTGGTGCCATTCATTGGTTCCTTCAAAACAAAGAGTTTTGACTCTGGTGTCTCCAGGGCTGAGCATTCTCCAGTGCCTGCTGATCCTCAGGGTTTCTGGGTCCCTGACTTACCCATACAGATCCAGAGAGCCATCTGCCCCCCTCTGTGACATGAGCATGTCTCCTGTTAGAAAGTGGACATTCTCCACTCACCCCACTGTGGGTCTACATCTCGACAATCCCAAAACACATTTTGGGGAGAGACACTCTCCTGGGTGCTGGCTTTAGAGTAACCCAGACAAATTCCATCTCTGGGCAAGGGCAATAAGAGCCCTTGAGGGGGTCAAATGAGAGCCAGTATATGACCCTACCCAAGACAGATTCTATAGATTCACATCTCCCAGGAAGACTCAGAAAGATAACAGCGGCTAAAAAGAGCGTGAGGATCATGCGTCCTACATAGAACCCATACGGCAGCTCTGTGCGGCCGATGCAAAACGTGACGGCACCTGAAGGATGATGGTTGATTACCAAAACCTAAGGTGACTCTTGGATGCTGCGGTCCCAAATGTTAGTCCCAAAAGATTAACTGGTTGTTTAGGAACACGATAGACTGTCCTATAACAAAACTTCCCTGAACATACCCTTAGACCCGGAGTCCTAGGATATGTTTGCCTTCGCCAGAGAGGCCCCCAGTGACCCTTCAGGTGCTCTTCCAGGAGTGCTCACAGAGCCCCACTACTGTCCTGGCATGATGGCCAGAGACCTGGCTGTTTGGGTGAATGCCTTGCATATTGTATAGATAATATGTCACCGACTTACACAGGTCTGAGATGTTTTAAAAAGGCTACCCAAAACCTACAACTCCCAGAGGATGGGTTGTCAACCAGCAGAAAGTCCAGGAGCCAGGGTATACCATAAAAGTCCTGGATATGGTCTAGGGTAAGGCTGGTTTTTCCAACAACTGTATTTGACAAAAGACACAGCTGCAAACAGTTAAAATATTGTAGACCTTTGTAGAACCGCTAAGATATGAAGGGACCTTCATTTCCACTTGCCCCACTGTCTCAGGCCATTGTGCTGCCTAATTAAAAGGGGGCATACTGGGGCAGAGATCCATTTTTGGGGAGATTCCAGCCTCAGGTTGGACAAGAGAGGCTGTATATAGAGTGAAGCTGCAGACTTGGGCCTGATTCAGTTGTCAGCTGACGGCCTCTTTCCTTCCCAGCAGTCACCTTCTTCAAGATGACTGCTGAGCTAGTTCACGGAGCTGTACTGTGCCTGAATCCTTGGCCTGGTAGTCTCCCTTCCTGGGATAGAACCTTGAGTGGAAATTGGCCTACAGAGTTGCTCTACTTTTCCTGGAGGCTTAAGCCATGATAATATCCAGTCTTGCCTTTGGCTTGGGAGATAGTGACCTTGGGACCCTGAAGATTTTCACCCAGTCTATAGAAGTCAGAGGACCTCTTACCAGGGGAATAACAGTAATAGGGACTTTTCTTTTAAAAGTTAATATTGTGAGATCATGCTTTTATATGTTTTGTTTTATTTAATCATAATTACAACTCCACGATGTGGGTTGTATTCTGATTTTATAAATGAGGAAATAAAAGCTCTGAGAGGTGAATTAGCACTAATAAATAGGAAGGAGCCAGGTTTAGAACCCAGGTTGATGTGACTTCAGTCTAGTGATATTTCTGTTGCTTTATGCTCCCTCACAGGGAAAGCAGGAACATCTTTCTCAAAGACATTATAGCAATCATGGTACTAACCCCAATCACATGAAACATTCCATTGAAATGTGACATTAGATTAGAAGAGTGGTCATCACTGCATGACTAGTAAATGAATGAAACTAATTCCTCCCTTTCCCAGAGGCGATATGGCCAAACAGAAGGGCACACAGCCTTATACAAGCCAGGAATCCTGGCAGCTACTGCCTGAACCCGAGTTTTCCCATTTATAAAATAGAATCAATAGCATCTGCTATTTTTTTTCTTACAGGACTGTTAACGCATGTGAACACACTTTGAAAACCTTATTACTTTTTATAAATTCTGAAGTTCTTTTACCCCAGTAACAATTTCTTCATAACTTACATACTTTTCAAGATGTTAGGAGAAAAAGGATGTATTAGCACTTATTTGCTCATGAGTACTTTCAACACTAGGCTGGAGTCATTTGAATGAATATTTCTGGAAAGAGAGAGGTTTGGAAGAATATAAGAGTAAGATTAGCTACTGTCATGTGAAGTCACAGGGAAACATCTGAGTGCTTTGGAATACAAGGTGCATGCTCCTGTCTCCAAGCTGGCGCTGCTGAGTAAGCGGAAATGTTTGGGCTGAGTGGGTACCCTGAGAGTATCAGAACATAGTCTACTGTAGCCAGTGAGCTATGTTCTTAGAAGGTTAAAAAATAATTTTTGCCCTCAATAAATTTTAATATAAACCAAATGTAGTGGAAGTGTCTAGACAGTTTTTGAAAGAGAAAATTTTTAAAAATTGGTCAGAACCTGAATAACCCTGCCAACTTGATAGGAGATTAAAGAAACTCAAATTGAAAAAGGCACACTTTTTTTTGTCCAGTCGGAGAACACTTGGTCAAAATATTCAGGTCAATGTCAGTGAGTGTGAATTAATGCAGACGCTGGGAGTACGCTGTGTGGACTTTCTGCAAAGATGTTTGGCAATATGTGTTGAGAGCCTTGCCATTGTTACTGACTTCAGGTCAAGTAATTCCAATTATAAGATGTATCCTGATGGAAATAATATAGTCGTAGATTGCACTAATATTGGGATGTTCATTATGGTGTTAATTATAATTGCAAAATATTAGAAACAACCTAAACATTAGTAGGAGAAAAGTAAATTATTTGACAACCATATGAAGGAATATAATCAGCCATTTAAAATCATGTTTTTAATGATAAAAAAAATGCTAACATAATTGGGGTAAAAGTAGGATACAGACCTGTCTGCTTATACACGAAATTTATAGAAAGCTATATATCTTAAGCTAATCGTTATATTTGGGCAGAAGATTTTTCTTTATACTTTCTAAATGTATTCTCCAAAATTTCTGCAATGAATATATTTTCTAGTCAGAAAAAAATTATTTTAGAAAAGAAAAAGTTCAGGGAAAGGGAATGTAATTGTTCATTAAATTCAGACCTTTTAAAATGTAAGATTTTAAGATGGTGCTACAAATAAAACTTAGAGTACCATTTCAGCAAGTGAATGAATAACTTGGGCAGATTGCCGAGAGGTTATTAAGAGAAAAAATAGCACACCTCTTGGGTGATATTCACATTTTCTGGTAGTTACAAAGAAACCACAAATTTTCTAAACTAGATAATGAGTTGGAGATTTCTAAAGGTGTTTTCTTTGTACTACCTATTTTTTTACATAGTGCTGCTTTTTTTTTTTTAAGTGAGTAAAGAAAGCTGAAAATTTCTGAATAGAAAGAGCAAGTTTGTTTCTAAATATCACTTGAAGTTCTTTTGTTTCTAGAAGAGATGTAATAATTCCTGGGTATGGGTACCAGATTGATTTACTCAGAAGAGGACATTTTCCTGATCAGTATTGTGAATATGGGACTGTTTAGAAGGATTGTTAGGCTTTTACTTCTGTTTAAATATTTATGTTCAGACTGTGGCCAGGTAACGTGTGAGGTCTCGTCTCGAGTATGCTCATGGACACTGAACCTCTGCATTTTATTTTACAGTGTTGCTCTTGCAATATATTATCACATCAAAAACAGGTATGTGGATGGTTGTGTACTAAAAACATCATACATTGTCTTCTGTTATGTTGCTCCTATTTTTCTCCTTTTTTAGTTGCCTCAACCTGTGAATTATACGTTCTTAACTCATATTTTCATAGAATTTCTGAAGGTAGAATAATTTACTGAAACTTCCCAGGTAAGTGCTGAACTGCTTTCGAATCAGAGGAAACCAAATGAATGTGGTTGAAACCAGCAGAGACAAAGCTTCTCAATGATGTTTGGCTTCCTTTTCTTCTTTATTTTCTGTAAAATTTTTTTAAACATTCTGTCTTTTGTAAACTGTCATTTTAAAAGTTTACTGGGTGTAGCTTTAACATGAAAAACATTTAATTTATAGTTTGAATTCAGTAGAGGCAATTTTGTTATAAATTTAGGCATAAACTATTTTAATGTAGAAGCCCTCCCTGATGTAAGTGTATCTGGCAATAGTTGGTTAATTTTAAAAGTCAGTTAAAACGGAATGAAAAAAAGTCTACCTTATACATTTTATTTCAGTGTAAAACATGTAAGAATACGTTCATTTGTCAATTTTTTAAAATGCAGCTTCAAGACATTTGCTTCAAGCACAGGACATTGATTGGAGAACCAAAACGTATTTCTAAGCCACAGCTATAATTAATTTATCCTTTCCAAGTTGTTTTTTTTTTCTCAATAGTGAGAAAGCTTGAGGACATTTGCATAACAGATGACTGTAAAATCTTTCCAGTTTTGACCACACCTAATCTACAGCAAATTTATTTTTAGTGATTTTCTTTTATCAAATCTTTCCAAAGCGTCCTCAGTTTTTATGAGGACAGAGCCACTCTCATGGTAGTCATATTTCATGCATAATGTGACATTCATGTATGTTCTATGAGTCTACTAAGCATAGCTGGTGTGAGGTAGTTTGGGAACAAGCAGAGCCACCACATGGTAAGTGAGAGCTCAGCCGCTGGAAGCCCCACACCTATGTGTGTTTACAAATCGTGGTTAGTGCAGGGGAGGATGGATGATAGCTTCTAATGGACAGTATTGGAGAAAACACAAATATCCAGAAGCAGACACCTAGAAAGGGATTCTCTGTGATCACCTGTTTCCATACTGTAATTGTGATTCATGATTCTTTATGGTGCTTGAGAATTTTGGGTTTAAGAAATTACAAAACAGTATAACTTTGGAACTCTAAATCTTGAATTAGAATAGCATATCAGTGAAAATGGAGATTTTGTCTTATTGCCTACTTCTGTACTAGTTTAAACATTTTAAATCTGTAAGGCTTAAGAAAACAGTATAATCACATCGATGAAACTCAGTGTGCTTTCAAGACAGTTTTGTGATAGAATCTCTAAGATATTTCTCGGTACTTAGACAGTGATGGATGCTGAAGTGAATGTAGCCAGAGCCATAATAATAAGAGTCAGCTTTGTGAAGTGCCTACTCTGACTGCTCTGGTCAGTTCTTTACATGCTTTAATAACAACTCCTTAAGGTGATGCTGGTATCTTCATTTTACAGATAAAGAAATTGAGGCACAGAGAGATTAATTTGACTAAGATGATACAACTAGTAAACTGGGGAATTGGGAAATAAATGCAGTCTACCACCCAGATGTTTAATCATAGTGCTCTCCTTGATTAATGGTGATGAATTGCGCCAAAAGTAAGTGAATGGAAGAAGAGAAAGTCCAGTGAAAAATTGAGCATTTGTAAACAAGCATAATTAATGTTCAGATTGCCACCTGCAGGTCTCTAGGTAAGAGGAGGCATGCCCATCTGCACACCTTCTCCTCTCTGAGTCATGCTAGTTGCTGATGATAGACCTGTTAGCTTGATAGAGGTGATGTGGTGCTGTTCAGCTGGGACACACAGCTTTTAGTGGAAGTAAGGAAACAGTCTATTTTTCAGAGGATTCTCCAGAATCTCCTTTCCAGAGTCTTCTTAGCTTGAGCTCTTAATCCTCATTTATATTTTTAGCCTCTGTTCTCATTTTTAAAGTTACTTCAGGTGAGTGTTTCTCTAGAGTGGGGCTCTCATTCTTCAGGAAAATTGAATGGGGCTCAACTACCAAGGAATGGCCAGGCTCTATTGCTCATGCAACATTTTCAGTGCTTCACAGAGATTCGAGATTTGGTTCATTTGAAAACTCAGTAAATAAAGTGAGGGAATCCATTGATTCTTTGTAGCCAGGTTCGGTATCAGAGTGTAACCACGCACACCTAGAAGCTGCTCTCTGCTCACAGACTCCCTGTTGGGTTGAACCTTTCTTTCACTTGGGTTTATCTGTGTCTCTGCTGCCTATGATTATGCAGGCAGACATAAGTGAGCACAGATGTAAATGCTCAGAGCCTTAAAAATAATTGCTGTTGTGCAGATAGAGGAATGAAAATTGAGCTGTTAAGTTTTTTCTTTCTCTTTTTACACAGATGGTAAGTTTGTAAAGCAGAAATTGGAATGTTTGCCATGATGAGTATGTATTAGGGACAGGTCTGTAGCCTTCTGAAGTTCTGAAGCCTGGCACAGAAGCACAGACTATGGAAATTACATGCAGTTAGCCAAAAGCTATGGCTTCCAAGTTTGGTTGTTTAAAGAAAAATTTTTAGGCAAAACTCAAATTTCATAAAACAGATGAAAGTAGAGCTGTCACTGGTAAGGTATGGAGGGTCCCCGTGGAGCCCAGTGGCCCACGGCACTGTTCACAGTGAAAGCCACCTTGTTAAGTGGTTCTGTGCATGTACCTGCCTGGTAATAACCAACTATTCACTTACAGGTTATTGACTAAAGACTTTTTACCTGTCATCGCTTGTTTTTCAGTATAAAATTGTGAAACTTAATGAAGTACTGACGTTGCATGTTGTGAATAGTCAGACTGATTTCTAGGATACATTGAGTATTCATCCTTACCCTGGCACTTTTTTTCTATCAGCCACAGTATGGTGATGGTTTAAGCAGATCCATCAACCTTTGCTTGGAAATAAGATGTCAAATTTAAGTCATTTGCTTAGATTCGGTTCATTTGAAAAATCAGAAAATTAAAATTAAATTTTTACTTAATTTTAAAATGTGTGATTTGGAACCTTAATTTCCTTGGGCTATTCAAACAAAAGTGATTAAATATTATACCCAAGAAAAACAAATCATTATTCATGAATAACCATTTAGCACTGACTTGTGTTTCTTGAAATAGTAGAAGTGGCTAGGTGCTGTGGCTCATGCCTATAATCCCAGCACTTTGGGAAGCCAAAGCAGGTTGATCCCTTCAGGTCAGGATTTTGAGACCAGCCTGGCCAACATGGTAAAACCTCGTCTCTAAAAAAAAAAAAAAAAGTTAGCCAGACATGGTGGCGCATGCCTGTAATCCCAGCTACTTGGCAGGCTGAGGCAGGAGAATCTCTCAAATGTGGGAGGTGGAGATAGCAGTGAGCTGAGATGGCACCACGGCACTCCAGCCTGGGTGACAGTGAGACTCCACATCAAAAAAAAAAAAAAGAGTCATTGAATTAAAATGTATTTTGTTTGACATTTTTATTTGAATGACATTCTTGAAGAAAGTAAGTTTCATTTTCTATTGTTTTCCCTACCAGGGATCCAGATGGAAGAATGCTCTTAGATATTTTTGATGAAAACCTTCACCCTCTTTCGGTAATCTCCTCTTTGTGTTTCGTGAGATGATTTAATTATTTCTTTTTTGCTTCTGTGGGGCAAAGAGTCATCTGAAAATATTTTCTTCCCCAGAAATCCGAAGTGCCACCAGATTATGACAAACACAACCCAGAGCAGAAGCAGATTTACCGGTTCGTTCGGACGCTGTTCAGTGCTGCTCAGCTGACAGCTGAATGTGCCATTGTCACCCTGGTGAGTGCTGTCAGGATGGCCACACCCATCCCCAGCCTGGGTGGTCCAGGGCTTGTTCCTGTCACTCAGTGGAGTGGACTTCGAGCAGGGAGTCCTCTCCAGGTGACCCTGGGGACACTGTGGCATAAGGTTCAGTGTTGCCATTCTCCTCAGAGAATAGAGGATAGATATCCTAGAAGAGGGTGTGAAGACTGTTCCACAGACCCCACTTAAAGTCATTTGTGAAATCACATTCAAATTCAATAAATGCCGAAATTAAAAATGCAGGTAAGTAAAGCAGTAGGGGTAAGGGAGTGGTCAGAATGGCCAAGGTACTCCCTGTAAACATCCAGGTTTTCTGTTGTTGGTTCCCTACAAAGATTGTAATGACATTAGTAAAATATGATGAATACTGTTATCTGAACACTTATCTAGGAAGGAGTGTGAATATTCTTAGCTTCTGTTTTGTGACTTTCAACTAAATGTATCTGCAGGATATTCAGAGATAGTAGGGAGGTAATTTATATTTTAAGACTCAAGAAAAAATTAAATAAAAATTTATTCTAATGGCTGGGCTCCATGGCTCATGCCAGTAATTTCAGCACTTTGGGAGGCTAAGGTGGGAGGATAAATTCGCTTAAGCCCAGGAATTTGAGACCAGTCTGGACAACATGGTGAAACCCCCGACTCTACAAAATTAAGAAATCAGCCAGGCGTGGTAGCACATGCCTGTCGTCCAGCTACTTGGGAGGCTGAAGTGGAAGGATCACTTAAGCCGAGGAGGTCAAGGCTGTAGTGAGCCATGATCATGCCACTGCACTCATGCCTGAGGGGCAGAGGGAGACCCTGTCTCAAAAGAAGAAAAAAATTCTTAGTTGGATTCTTAAAATGTTATGTACTATTTGGGTCAAATCTCACTTGGGAAATAGATTTAACAATGGAACCCTTTTTGTCACTGACCTTTTACATTGGGTGTAACTTAGATGAGAAATGAGCTTTGTCTGTGCATGAGCTATCCTGGAGATCAGAATACCATTCTCTGTAGTTTCTGAGACGAGGCAAGTGTCTAGTAGAAGCTTTACAGTCTCCAAAGGACTCTTGTCTCTGCCACACGAAGAGCTGTGTGCTCTGAGGCTAACTGAACAGGATCCCTATTTGCTTGTTTGCTCATTCATTTGTCTGCTCATTCATTTGTTCATTTCTTCTCATTGAGCTCACAGCCTGAAGGATGATAGAACAGTCGGTCAAGTAATCATTAGATGATTTGGAATGATTACAGGTTCCTAAGTCATAATTGAGAAATGTATGTATTGCCCAGCTTTGTTCCTCAAAGGGATTTCAAGTTCTAACATAAACACACAACAGGGCAACAGGGTTGAGATTTTTATGTAGGGAAAGTGGGTGAAGGGAAAAGAAGAGTAAGAAAAGCAGAGGAAACCTTAAATGAAATTAGTACTGAAACATGTGCCATGAGGAAGGATTTATTTTGAAGCGGCTGTAGATGGAAGGTGGTGGGGATTTTTTACACCTTTAATTCCTAAGAAAAATATGGCCCGGTTATGAATGGTAGAGCCTTCTTGTTCGGGGTTATTATTCAGTGTGAAGGAGGTTTGTGTCCCATGGAGGACAGGGCCAGCATTTAAACCCCACAGCTCACCAGTGTCTACCTTGAGAATACATCTAACAGGCCTGCCTCGCTGCCCTCCGTGTCACTCACCAAAGGTGACAGGGCTGATGAGTTCATGTCTTTGGAATAGTGTAGGAGTGGCACTTTTCTTGTGAATAATTATAACTGTGGAAATCTTCATTAATTCTATGAAATAAACTGGTGTTGAGCAGGATACCAGTTTGCATGGGGGTCTTGGTTGTTTGCAGCTGGAAAGGAGCAGGCTTAGAGGCCTTCGTGGTAGGTGCAGCCCACAGCCCATCGTCTGGTCACTGCTGCCTGTCGAGGCTCAGCCCAGCTGCATGCTTGTGGGCAGAGGGCATAGAGATCGTGCGTTGAGCGAGACTCTTGTAGGATTATTCTTCCCTCCTTGTGTCCCTTAGAGTTAGAAACAGTCATTCAGGACAGGTCTGGCCTAGAGTTGACAGAGATGCATTCATTAACTCTTGCTTTTCTCCTGGGCATGTGTTTGGCATCTTGGTATGCTGCTCAGGAGGCAATGGGGGAGGAATAGCAGTAAGCCCTGGCCCTGCTTCCCACACAGAGCAGGACTGCAGCCTGCTGTGGACAGAGCCTGCAGGCCCTTCAAACACCCAAACCTACCTCACCCAAAGCAAATATTTCACAGCTTAATGAACTTTTTTAAAAAGAGTAACTTAGTATCACTAAGTATATTTTTTAGCAATATGCTGAAAGCTCTCCTGTAGATACTACCACATGAGGAAATTCAAAAGGGAGTGAGGTAACTGATTCGCACCTTGCTGAGTTGTGTAGATGCCTTTGTTGTGTTCCTGAAGCAGCTGGGGGAAGCCAGGCCTGCAGTGAGGTGGTGGAAAGGCCTTGGCATCCAGCTGCCCCTCCATGAGGCCCTGTCCTTCCCTCAGGAGTTACTTAAGCTGACTGATCCTGAGAACCATGTGTGGCACCCACTTTAGTCCCATGTGGTACTTTGACAACACCTAAAGCTCACCGCCTGTCTGAACTGGAATCTTCTGTTGGAAGGATGAGAAAGCCAGAGGCCAAGGCAGACGGGGATATATTGGAAGGTCCAGGCAGGTCCCACATATCCCTTCTCCTGTAGGTGTGGAAGGACATCAGGCTGTAGAATGAGGCCCACTGCAAGTTTCTCTTTGGGCTGCCAACTCTTGCCTTTGCGCCCCTGTGGCTCTGGGGCCTTAATGTGCAGGTCGGCTTTCTTGATTTGGATGGGAGGTGGCAGAACTGTTAATAGCTTTCTCCACCCTGTCTTCATCCCTTCTCCGTTTAAGGCCCCACACTCTCTAACCCCACCTCCTCTTTCGATTTTGGAGAGGGGAGATTTTGACTGGCCCAGTTCCTTTGGGGTCAGATGTTCATCTGTAGAAAAAAGTCAGTCATGACCCAGAGCTGAAGGTCCTGCGCTGTTATTATTCTCACTTTGCCCTCTCCTCTGTTCAGAACCTATAGTAGTTCCCCATCTTCCTCAGGAAAGCCCAAAGCCCTGACATGACTGATGGGGCCCAGCAAGATGAAGCCTCCTTTCATCTCTGCCCAGCTGCCTCCGCCACCTGCCCCAAGACTTCTGCACACAGCCCCTCTGTTGCGGGCGTGCTTGAGATGCATGCTACCCTCCTCCACCTCATCTTTGCTCAAAAGGCACATCGGGGGGCTGTTGCCTGGCCACCATGTCTGAAGTTGCAGCCTCCCCCCTGCACCACACTCCCTGCTCATCACTTCCTGCTTTTTCTCTGTGTGCTTAACACCTGTCAGCATTTTTTAGGTTGAAGTCATTAATTTTATTGTTTTGTCAGTAAGCTCAATGAGTAAGAGATGTTTTCTCTTTTTGTCCATTTGGTTCACTACAATATGACCAACATCTGGAACGAAGCCCAGCTCATAATAAATTCTCAATAAGTATTCATTGAACATGTAGTGAGCAGTAGTAAGTGCCTACTGGCTGAACTACATGGTGATGATGTGCCTGAAACGTAAGAAGCATTTAATACCTATTCATTATCTTCCCCTGCCCCACTAGTATTAGAACATCAGACACATATTCTGTCATTTCATTGCTTAGACTTTTTTTGTTTTTGAGACAGAGTCTCACTTTGTTGCTCAGGCTGGAGTGCAGTGGCACAATCTCGGCTCATTGCACCCTCCACCTCCCGGGTTCAAATGATACTCCTGCCTCAGCCTTCCAAGTAGCTGGGATTACAGGCATGCACCACCATACCCTGCTAACTTTTTTGTATTTTTAGTAGAGATGGGGTTTCACTACGTTGGCCAGCTTGGTCTTGAACTCCTGACCTCAAGTGATCTGCACACCTCTGCCTCCCAAAGTGCTGGGATTACAGGCGTATGTCACTGCACCTGGCCCTGCTTAAGTTTTCTGAAGGGACAGTGGCAAACTCTTCAACTTCAGGGACATTACTCAGCTGAACCTTGATTGAGCATTCTGTGTGAGGTTGGTTCTGTCTGCAGAGCCGCAGAGATGGGAGAGGGAGAAAGAGGAAGTTGGTGATTGATGGAGGAATTCAGACATAAAGGAAGGGGACCAAGAAGAGATGGAGGTGGCAAAGTACAGCTGACCAGACAAGAGGGGTGCGGTCCCTTTCTTTATTACCCACTTTTTAATAGCTTTATTGAGACATATTTTATATACCATAACATTCAGCCACTTAAAGTGAGCATTTCAGTGGGTTTTAGTACATTGTACAACCATCACTGCAACCTAATTTCAGAATATTCCCATCATCCCATAGAGAAACTCCTTACCCTTTAGCATTAACTCCTCATTCTCAGCCCCAGAAACCACTAATCAAATTTCTGTCTCATTTGCCTGTTCTGAACATTTCATATAAATAGGATCATAAATGACCATTTATGACTGGCTTTTTTTACTTAGCATATGTTTTCAGGGTTCATCCACATTGTAGCATGTGTAATATTTTCTTTTTTATTGCAAATAATATTCCATTGAATGCAGATACATACATACATACATGAGAGACAGTGAGTGAGTGTTGTCCCTCCTTGTACAAGGGTTTTGCATCTGAAGATTCAACCAACTGCAAATTGAAAATGTGCTTAGGCCTGTGATGGTTGCATCTGTGCTGAGCATGTACAGATATTTTCTTCTTCTTGTTATTCCCTAAAGAAAACAGTATAGCAACTACTTACATGGCATTTACATTGTATGAGGTATTATAAGTAAGTATATAAGGTGATCTGCACAGGTTATACAAAAATATGCCATTTTATATCAGGGACTCTCCATCCTCAGATTTTAGTATCCACAGGGGGCTCTAGGGCCAACTTCCGCAGTTGCTCAGGCATGCTGTACTTCATTTTGTTTACCCATTCATGAGTTGGTGGA